ACATCTGTCTGGAAATGACAGTCCTCTTTTTCTCTGTCTCAACAGGCAGCACATAAAACTCAGCAGTCCTGACAGTCCGGGACAGGAAGAGCTGAGTTTTCAAAGTAATATTTTTCCCCCCCATGAAAGATGATTCTTTTAGTCACCGCACTGTGAACGTTCAAAGCGCAGACCTGAGTGGCGCTGTGGTCACAGGTATTGTTTTAGTGGAGGTAAAACTATAGGAGGTTTAGAGGGGACGCTGTACTGCAAACGGAAAGCTGCTCCCCGTGCGCGAGCACCATGTTTTCCCCACAGAGCGCCGCAGCAGGTGGAGCGCCGCCGGGTTACCTCTGTAACTGTGTGACTGGCTGTCAATAAATCCTCAGCAGCCGACGTTGTTTCGTTCAGGAGGAAGGCGGCGGCCCATAAAACCATTCAAACAGACCTTTGACCCCCCCCCCCCCGGCTGACCCGGACTGGTGCACACGGCGGCAGGGCAACTTTAAACGGTTTTCTAACAGCAGCCGCTGGCTTTTAGCGCACACACACACACACACACACACACACGCAAAGCTGTGCTTTACTGTTAGGTCTGATCCAAATGCTCCGGGAGAGCCGGTTACAATATCGTGTGTGCAATAACCAATTTAATGAAGGGGAAACTGGCTGATATATGGCAAGACCTGACAGCCGAGTACCTGCAGCCTCCCTCGGAGCTGAAGTGCCTTCAAAAGACTGCTCGGTTAAAGTTGTTTTCTTTTCTTTTTTTTAAGACGCCTTTGGCTTAATAAACAGAGTATATATAGGATACTTATAGGGTGTTTTTCTCTTTTGTTGTTTTGAACCATTTCCATGTAGCGAGCATGAACTGTAAGGACCAAAGGAACTTTTGAAGACTTTTTTAAAATGTGTAGCTTTCGGCCTTCAAACTGTGGAGAGGAGCAGAGGCTTCCTTCGATCTTTCTATGTAACCTGCCAAGTGGCAAATTGTGACACAAGGACACTTTGGACTTCCCAGTGACCTGTTCCCATTCCTACGTTTTCTCATAAAGTTCTGATCTGATTTTGACTCTTGATGGTTTTGTTTCTTGTTTCCCCTCCAATTTTCTCAAAGTGAAATTAAATCCCACACAAGAGTTCAACACGTTTAGCAACGGGTTTTTTATTTGTTCTCTGAGGTTAAAGGTCACCTCATGGATGAGCACAGTGATGATTTCAGGTCGCAGCTGAAAGATTTACTCCTGGGTTCTCAAACTTCGTGAAAAACACTGCAACCAGGGGCTGTAAACTATGAAATGTGATCTACCAAAGTCTATCGGTGTGCGTGGGGGCCCCGGAACACTGGGCCCCATGCTGAAGCAGAACAAAATAGCACTCCTCCAGTGTTCTGCGCTGGCAGATTCCTATGAAAAACCACCATCTTCTGGCATCAGTAGACTTAAAAAATCTCGCCCATCTGTAGTGGCATCTTTTCCATTTGAGCAGCATTGCTGTACGCCCACAGTCCCAAACGAATACAAAGGCAGCTTTGGGGACGAGGCACTTTTTCTTCAAAAAATATGATACTGTTTTCATGCAGGTTCCCATGACGTCAGTATGGAGAACGGATTTTTAACATAAATATTAAGCACAGAAAATAAATAAATGCCCTATGTGTAGTTTTTTTTTTTTTTCTTCCTTTTTTTTTTTTTTTAAATTTGAAAAGGCAAAAATACAAAAGCAGCGTAGTGTGAGTGTTCCGGCCCGGGCGTCCGGGGCCTTGCTGGAGCAGCGGGTCTGGCTGTGGGTCCTGTCCCCTCCCCACTCAGCTGGAGTGGATAAGTGCTTTGACCAGAGGCCTGGACCTGTCCTGCACGAGCCCAGGCTCTCTGCGGAGTCTCCCGGCAGAGCGGCGGGTCGCCCTCCCTCCGCTCACAGCGCCGTCTCAAAGATAACCAGGTTGCCGTCGGCTGTCTCTGCGTGTCCGTTGGGTAAGTCGGGCCGACTTCTGCTGTTGTACGCCTGGAGAAGGGGGTTTACAAAAGTCAAAAGATGAAAGAGGAAGCCCTTTGTGTGTGTGGAGGTGGGTCGCTGGGCGCCGGACCTGTTTGGCAGCTTTCAGCAGCGCCGCCGCCTCCTGTTTGCCCGTCTGCTGCACCATCTTATAGAAGATGCTGCTCTGGTCCTGCAGCAGGGCGTGGGGCTCGTCGTAGGCGTGGATCTTCCCGGCATCGAGAACCTGGGGGGAAAAGATCGTCTCGGGTTGTTGCTCGCTTTCAGGCTGGAGTGCGGATCAAATGGCGCTTTCCTGTTTTCCTCATTAAGTGCAACCCCCCTTAGGCTCCTTCCCAGACAAACAACTCTTCTTCCCTTCGACTACAAACGTCTCCTGGCATTTATAATCCACCAGCCTCCTCACATGTGAATGATTGGTGAAAGATTGCCCTCCTAATCAGAGCCCCGTTAGCTTTTAATGTCCCCTGTGGTTTATTGTTGATCACTGTTCCCCACCAGAGTGCTGCCACTCATTAACTCCACGTTTGCGGCGGTTACACAACTCTTCCTCTGAAACTGGAAGAACTCCAAGTGTTTCTTGGACCTATTTCTTTGAAAACACTCAGCATATGTTCCAGGAGAGCTGTGGGCGAGCCAACATGGGTGCGTTTGCTGCTAGGGCGGCGGGAGGCCTCACCAGGATGCGGTCGCTGTCTATGATGGTGTTGAGGCGGTG